ATCCACATTTCCCATGAATAACTATTAAGTTTTCACAAAATGTGATTATGCGCGCATTCCATTATCATAAGTATTGATCATCGTCGTCGTCATCATCACACCATCATCATTATCATCATCACACCATCACAATCATCATCATTACCAATATTATTATCATCTTCAACCTTAATATCATCTTCATTCAATCACTAATACTGCCATGCATCATTCTCATATTCCATCATTATCGTTATCAGTAAACTCTTTACAATCACTATTATTTTAACCATTCTTCTTATTATTATTATATTATTATTATTATTATTATTATTATAACCGTTGTAGTTGTTGCCAACAATATTATTATCAATATCGTTGTGTATTTAGAAATGTTTAAAACATAGTCTTCGTATAATAGTAATCCTATCCAATACTGTCACAACACACGCACACACACGCACACGCACGCACACGCACACGCACGCACACGCACCACACACGCACACACACCACACACGCACACGCACGCACACACACCACACACGCACACACACCACACACGCACACGCACGCACACACACCACACACGCACACACACCGCACACGCACTCACACACGAATACACACAAACGCAGACAAACCAACAAAAGCATACAAAGATGAACACAGGCAAACACTTAACGGTCGCGGCAATATGCAAATGTTTTCTATTGTTCTCAGTGCAAACCCATCAATCAATCACTTGCAACTCACTGCTAAAAACAAAGGTAATACTAATAACTACTAATACTATTACTACAACACAACAACTATTACTACTACTTCTGCTGCTACTACTACTACTACTACTACTACTACTACTACTACTCCACTGCTAATGGTTTAATTATTCTGCAATGAACTACGTAATAAGAATTCTTTGATGTTTTTTTCTGTATTTAAGTGAGCTCAATTAAAAATTCAATTTTTTTACAATTTTTTTAAAGAATGACTAAAGCGCTTCATAATTACAAAACGAATTATGACGTCATGTAAATTTCTGAAAACAGTTTAAAGGTAAACAAACAATTAATTATTTTTAATTAATTATTTTTCAATATGTAATTATTAAATATATTAACTATTTTATATTTAAATAGTCCGCACTATGATTGCCATAACTCAGGGGTGGGCAAACTTCGGCTCGCGAAGCTATTTTATGAGGCCCGCGAGACATTGTTTGCCAGCCATAAAAGGTCGTCATTATGACCAAAAAAAGGAGCCACATATCTTAAAAAACTCTCCCCCGTGTCGAAAAATTTGCTATTTAAGTACATATACGGCCCTTCAAAGGTAAAATGCGGCCCTCACAACAAAAAGTTTGCCACCCCATCCCTGCAACTGATAACATTTAAATTTTAAAATTATATTAAATACACTAATGATCATAATAACAACACTTTAATTAATAATTATAATTTCAGTATAAATATTATTTTCACTAATGTAATTCTCTAAACATACAAACCAACTTGTAAAACTACTAAGGAGTTATAAAGTCTTCAAGTTATTTACATTTTCAAATACAGAACTTCAAAGTTACATCCTAAATATCGTAGCAAACTGTAACTACGGGAAAACTAACTACGGGAAACCATCTTCAGCTATTTAATTCATTAATTAAATTTATTTAGCTATTTAATCCATTAATTTATTTAAAAAAAAAACAATAAAGTTTTCATCAAACTACACACACACAGATTACACTAACCACACAGACAAAAATGTCAACAAACACACCGGCGCTAACCCAGACAAACACGGCCCTTCTGACAGAGGGGGCAATTGCTACCGCGGCTCTACCCCCAGGAGAGCAAAAATTGAGTGTGGCGGGTCTCGAAGAGGGAGGAAGGGGTGCAGTTGCGACCCCGGCAGACCCTTCAGTAGCAATCCCGGTTACTGAAGATGATGATGCTGAAAAGGAAGCTCCCGTTACTCAGTTGGGATTTTTGAATTTTTTTATTTTTTTTTATTTTTTTTTTCATATTTTATGCACTTTTATTAAATTTTTGTAGTCTAGCAGTTAGTAGTAGTAGTAGTAGTAGTAGTAGTAGTAGCAGTAGTAGCAGTAGTAGTGGTAGTAGTAGTAGTAGTAGTAGTAGTAGTAGTAGTATTAGTAGAAGTATTGCTAATAGTAATAGTAGTAGTATGAAAAACAACAAACTAAAAACAATGCCCATTAAGAGTCGTCGACTTATCAGTGCCACTAAGAGCAATTTTGGTTGGAGCTGGAAAAAGAGCTAACGTATACTCAGACTTTGCCAAGCAGAACAAAAACAAATTGAAGGTTGTCGCCGTTGCAGCGGCTGTTGCGGCTGCTGTTGATGATCGTGTGGCTATTGCTGCTTCCTGTTGATGACGTAGCTGTCGCTGCTTTTGTTGCCTTTGTTATTATTGCTAAAGTTGAAGCTGTTAACAATTTTAATAATAACATTAATAATAGCAATAAAAATAATTATTGTTACCCCCCACCCCCCCCGTACCTTAGATTGCGGCCGTGGCAGACCCTAACCAATATAGACGGGAGAGGATGGCCCTATTGCATCTCATACCCTTCGATAGACTTTATATTTGTGGGTTTTTATTATTTTTTTTTATTGTTGTTATTATTATTACGTTATTATTATGTTATTGTTTTTATTATTTTAGTATTACCATTATTATAATTTTATTATTAAATTATAATTATTTCAACTTATCAAAATATGTCAAAATTTCGACTGTAATACTACATTAGTCGATTCAAGTTTTTTTAAAACTCTCGTTTAGGTCATTGCCATCATTATCAGCATCACAGTGATGATCATTATCACCATCAACGTTATCAATCATCATCATCATCGTCATCATTATCACCATCGTCACCATCATCATCGTCATCAGCATCGTCAACATCATCTTCATCATCATCAGCATTGTCATCATCATCTTCATCGTCATCACCATCATCGTCATCTTCTTCATCATCTTCTTCTCCATCATCATCATCATCATCATCATCATCATCATCATCACTAGCATGGATATGCGTTCCAGAAGAGAAGATAGCCGACATTGCTATCATATGCACAAAGGAAAATCTTAGATTGGTTTATTATTATAATTAAAATTATAATTATTTTATTATTATTATTAGTAGTAGTAGTAGTAGTAGTAGTAGCAGCAACATCATTATCATCGCCACCAGGAAGTAGTACACGCATTTGCTCAAAGGGGCTACGCGATCATCCTAGAGAAACCCATGGCCGTAAGTTCGATGACGTCACATTCACACACCCACTCACCTACACATACACACACACACACATTACGTATACACACACACTCAAGCTAACTCATTTAGTTTAGAGTGAAGGACAATCGTTGACAGAGAACAAACAACCAAGCCTAGCCTTTTTCTCGTTTTAAATCTTTCGCACTCTCTTCAAAGGAATCAAACATCTCTCTCTCTCTCCCCTCCCTCTCTCTCTCTCTCTTTCAGTCTTTTTTAGCTTTCTCTCTCTCTATCTATCTTTCTCTCTCTTTCTCTCCAGTTCACATTCAAATAACAAACGTACGAAGCACACACCCATACAACTCACACACACCTGCTAACGTATTCGGAGAGTAAGAAAACCAAGAAACCAAACATTTTCTATCTGTTTCTCTCTCTCTTTTTCTCTCACACACAAACTTTCTTTTTTTCTCTTTTTTTTCACACACACACACACCAAACATTCTCTCTGTCTCTCTCTTTTTTTCATACGCACACACACACACACACACACACACACACACACACACACACACACACACACACACTGTTTTCTTTCTCTCTCTTTCTCTCTCTCTGTTTCACACACACACACACACACACACGCACACACACATACTGTTCTCTCTCTCTCTCTCTCTGTTTCACACACACACACACACACACACACATACACATACATACACACACACTCCAGCAAACGTATTCAGAGTGTAAGAAGATCATTGAGGTGTGTCGGGAGAACCGGACGACCCTGGCCGTGGCCCACGTCCTCCGCTACGACCCCCACGTTGTCAAGATGCTCGACATGATCGAGAAGGGCGCCATTGGTGACGTCATCAGTATTCAGCACACCAATCCGGTATTGGCATGATGGCTCATTGGTTAAAGGCGCCTGGTTAAAGGCGCCTGGTATTGCTGCTGCTGCAGTGACTGGGTTCGAATGCAAAGAGATCCCCACCTACCATATGCAATGTGTATGATGCGTGATTTGCACACGTATTCATATACGCTGTGTGTGTTTGTCGTTGAAACCTTTGAAGCAAATGCAAAAGAGATAGAGAAACCCTTAACCCTTATTATTATTAGTAGTATTATTATAGTAATAATAATATTACTATAATTATCATTATTGATTATTATTATTATTATTAATTTTATTATTGATAATATCGTTTGTCATTGCCATCGTCATCACCATCAATATCAACATTGTTAGTAGTAATAGTAACGCCATTATAATTTTTTAGTAGTAGTAGTAGCAGCAGCAGCAGCAGCAGCAGCAGCAGCAGTAGTAGTAGTAGTAGTAGTAGTAGTAGTAGTAATAGTAGTAGTAGTAGTAGTAGTAGTAGAACCATCTTCATCATTATTACCATCACCACCACCATCGTTATTAATACCATCATCATCTTCATCAACATCATCGCTATCACCATCACCATTTTCATCATCATCACCACCACCATCACCATCATTATTAATGCCATCAGCATCATCATCGCTATCACCATCGTCATCATTATCACAACCACCACCACCACCACCATCATCACTACCACCATCATCATCATGAACACCAAGGTGGGGTGGTACCACTTCGCCCACAACCACGTCCGCGGTGATTGGTCGAAAGCCTACAAGTCATCATCGCTACTCGTTAACAAATGCTGCCATGACATGGACTTTATAAGGTCTATTATTATTATTGTTGTTATTGTTATTATAATTATTATTATAATTATTATTATTATTGTTGTAGTTGTTATTGTTATTATAATTATTATTATAATCATTATTATTATTATTGTTGTTGTTGTTATTGTTATTATTATAATAATAATTATTATTATTATTGTTATTATTATTATTATTGTTGTTGTTGTTATTATTATTATAATTATAAGTATTATTATTATTATTGTTGTTGTTGTTATTGTTATTATAATAATAATAATAATAATAATTATTATTATTATTATTGTTGTTGTTGTTATTATTATTATTATTATTGTTACTATAATTATTACTATAATAATAATAATAATAATAATTATTATTATTATTATTATTAAGAGTTCCTATTGTTATTATCGTCATATAGCCTATATTGTGACAGAAACACTACTAACCGATATTAAATATATATTTTTTCCTCTCAAGCACTTGTTGATCAAAGAGCATGACATTACATTTTATATTTCATTTATTTACACTCTAATATATAATTAATTGTATTTTATATTTTATTTATTTACACTCTAATATATAATTAATAATTTTCGATGAATTCCATTTGGATTTTGTTTTTCGGTAAATAAAAGAATGTTCCCATTGTTATTATTATTGTTATTATTATTATTATTATTATTACGTATCTTTGCATTTTATAAATCTTATGTATCTTATGTATTTTCCTTATCTTATGTATCTTTTGTATCTGCCTTATCTTATGTATCTTTTGTATCTTATGTATTTTTTTGTATTTTATGTATCTGTTGTATTTTATGTATCTATGCATCTTAAGTATCTTTTATATCTTATGTATCTATGTATTTTTTGTATCTTATTTTTTTTTGTATTTTATGTATCTTTTGTATCTATGTGTCTTTTGTATCATATGTTGGGTTTGAACGAATTTTTTTAGAAGCCTGCAGTCTGGGGTTGAAGTGAGGTCCGTGTATTCCAATGGCTCTCTAGCTCATTTTAAAGAAGAAAACAAAGTTTGTTGATGAATGGATGAATGAATAGATAAGTGAGTGAATGAACGAACGAATGAATGAAGGAAGGAAACAATTAATGGATGAATGAATTAATAGATGAATGAATTAATAGATGAATGAGTGAATGAATGAATACATAGATGAATGAATAAATAAGTTCAAGAATTATTAAATTAATTATTAGGTAAATTTTTTATTTAATTTGTTTCGTAACCAAATTTAAATGTCTCTGAATCAAAATTTTAAACATTCAATTCGGCACACAATTGACTAATTCTACCAATAACCCGACAAACCAATCAACCAACCATCTAATCAACCAATCAATCAACCAATCAACTAACCAATCAACCAACCAGCCAACCAATCAATCAACCATTCAACCAACCAACCAGCCTTCAGGAGCTGGAATAACATGCATTGGATGTGCAGTTGAATCGACTTGCCCTTATTCCGCCTCAAGAATATATCTTGATCGAATCAAGGAAGTTAGTCTGGTATTATTGTTTAAAAGTAAGTATAAATACTTCTGAGTGATTGTAAAAGTCATTTCATCTTTGTATATTATTCAGATGTATCAAGGATACACGCCAATACGTGAAATAAGATACTGCTTATAATGATAGCATTTAATTCTTGTATCATTTGTATATCATGACGGATAAGTAGGGCTATCGAGATTGGCCGGTGAACGAAATAACCGAATTTCCCGATAACGATACGGTTACCGAAGCACTGTTGCATGGTCCGTACGGCAGATGTGTTTATGAACAGCTGAATGACGTCTGCGATAATCAGGTTGTAGTTGTAGCTGCTGTTGTTGTAGTTGCTGTCACTGCTGTTGTTGTAGTTGCTGTTGCTGCTGTTGTTGTAGTTGCAGCTGTTGCCGTTGTTGTAGTCACAGCTGTTGCTGTTATTGTAGTTGTTGTAGTTGCTGTTGTTGTAGTTGCTGTCACGGCTGTTGTTGTAGTTGCTGTCACTGCTGATGTTGTAGTTGCTGTTGTTGTTGTTGTGGTTTGTGTAGTTGATGTCGTCGTCGTTCTTCTTGTTGTTTGTGTGATTGTTAATGTTGTTGTTCGGAAGCCTTTTTGTTTTTTCATTTATTGTTGTAGTCGACTCAACTGTTTAACCAACGCCCGTGTAATTATGATTCACTATTATATTAATTATTGTCATAATAATCCCATCTGCGTATAATTATGAATATATAAAATATTTCTATAGTATAATAACTATATTAACTGTTATTATAGTTTATAATTAATGTATTCCATAGTATAATTATAACTTAATTAACTATTACTAATGTATAATTATAACTTAATTAACTACTACTATGGTATAATTATGACTATATTAATTATTGTTATAGTATAATTATTATATTTTTATTATATTTTACTCAAATAGGAGGTGTTGATCCAGTTTGACAATGGAGTGACAGCCTCCTTAACTTGCAATGCCTTCACCGAGAAAGTTAACATCAGGAAGACCATAGTCAGAGGGAGCAGGGTTGGTTGGCTGATTGGATGGTTCGTTCGTTCGTTCGTTCGTTCGTTCGTTCATTCGTTCGTTCATTCGTTCGATCTTTTATTTATTCATTCATTCATTTATTCATTCATTCATTCATTCAATCAATCAGGGTGAACTCTCGTGCGACTACGATCAGTCGTTCATCAAAGTTTTCGATTTTGTCAGATCTAGCGAAGGTTTTTCATCAAAGAAACACAAACAAACAAATACTCATTCACTCACTCTCACTCACTCACTCACTCACTCACTCACTCACTCACTCACTCACTCACTCACTCACTCACTCACTCACTCACTCACTCACTCACTCACTCACTCACTCCCTCACTCACTCACTCACTCACACACTCACTCACTCACTCATTCGTCAATTTATTTACCCATCCATTCACCATTCATTCATCCATTTATCCATTCGTCATTCATTTTTTCATTCATCCATGCAGTCATGTACCATCTAAATAATGAGAAAGACATGTCGAGCCATTCCCTTGTAACCTTCAGAGATGCCGATAGAGCCTTCATCAACGCCTTCATAGACTGTGTAAAGGTGCGTGCGAGTGTGCCCTATCAAATATTTCAATTATATTAATTCATAATTCATATTTATTCGTAATTCGTATTAATTCATAATTCGTATTAATTCATAATTCGTATTAATTCATAATTTGTATTAATTCATAACTCGTAGGTATTAATTCATAATTCATATTAATTCATAATTCGTATTAATTCATAATTCATATTAATTCATAATTATACATAATTCATATTAATTCATAATTCGTATTAATTCATAATTCGTATTAATTCATAATAATTCATATTAATTCATGGTAGTAATTGTTACTATAAAATTATTTTCATTAATAATGAATATTAAAAATTCACACACACACACACCGGATACGAAAAATACACACAACACTCACGCACACACAAACACACACAGACACGCACACATAAACATACACACACATACACAAACACACACGACACACCCAAACATACACACACGCACACACAAACACAAATACACACATACAACACACAGAATCACGATCCTAATGCTTTGCATTCCAATCACATCGACACTCTGCAAACTTACCTTCTGCTCTTCTCCGCTGAAAAATCCAGACAAACTAACAAAATTGTCATCCCCAATCAAGAAGAAGGTTTTCTTGAGTGATTGATTAAGTGAATGGGTGGATTAATGAGTAAAATGTTCTGTAATAATCTATGTAGTTGATTTCGATTTGATTGACTGGTTGATAGAGACAACAGCAAGATACGGCGATTAACACATTGATAAATGTATCATTCCTTCGTGCATGCATTCATTCACTCCAAGATAACTTTTTGTAGATACGGACAATGACGTCATATTTCTATTAGTTTTTCGCATGTTTTACAAATTATTTAAATGAAATTTTAAAAACCAAAATCGACTGCAATTTTGGTTGAAAAATTAAAGTTGCTTTACGTATATTTATTAAATTCCTCATTGAAACAGCAGTAATTCTCAGAGAACCATTGAAATAATTTGAGACCACACCTTACTTTAAGTAACTTAGCATCAATTGTAAAACTTGAATATAAATATATGCAATTAGTAAATATATCTATTTATTTGCTAAGTTTTGATGGCATATTACCTATATCCAATTGGCTCAGCTCAGTTCCTAGCTTACCTATTTTCAATTGGCTCAGCTCAGTCTCTGACTTACCTATGTAGCTTTGTTAAAAATAAAATAAAATTGACTGTATTTTTGTTGGAAAATTTGCGATAAAAGTTAAAAACTATTCATTATTTTTTTTATTAAGAAAATGATTGAGTTAATTAATACTAACATTTAATTATAAAGTATAATTCAAGTAATTGATTAATCAATTAATTATAAAGAAACTATTTTTAATAGTTTAATTAAAATTTTATAATTTTATTTTTTGCTTTTTTGTTCTTTGACTTTTCCTCAATCATCTTTCTCCTTTTAATTTCGGATTTCTAAAATTAGATTATAAGAAATTCCATTAATTCATTCATTCATACTTAGGTCCACCTATACATTCATTCCATTCATTTGAACGTTGATTCATAGACTAATTATCCATCCATCCATCCATCCATCCATCCATCCATCCATCCATCCATCCATCCATCCATCCATCCATCCATCCATCCATCCATCCATTCACCCGCTAATTTAAAAAACCCACAACATCATCTTCAGGGCTTGCTTCAACTTTATTATTATTACTATTTTTATTATTATTATTATTGTTGTTGTTGTTGCTTGAACCATCAACATTCATTTTCTTGTCATTCATGGCTTATTGATAAAATAAAGTTTAAATATTTTAATAAATAATAATAATAATAATAATAATAATAATATAAACAATATCAAAATAATCAATCCATAGATTAAAATAATATACTTGCTAATTAATATTCAAGACATTATAACGCATTATTAAATGATTAAATCTAAAAAAAAGGCTAACCAATCAGAATTTAAGCTTCAAAAGAATGAGATAAAAAACATAAGTAATTTAAAAAATGGCCAACCAATTAGAGCTGAGGCCTTTAAACGCTGAGTCTTATCGGAAACAAGCTTCATAAGCCTGCCATTCATTGTTTCGCATAAATTTGCATAATTATTGGTTAACTCGTTTTCAAATTCCTGTATAAATGAAATATAATTTATTTATAATTAATCATATAATTAATTATAATCATAATTACTTGACTGTTTGTTATCTGAATGTCAAATGTGTCTTCTGAAAATCTTAACCTCTCAGAATCTTTCAAAAATAATTAATTGAGAAAAAAATTAAAATTATTTTGATAACATAATAACTATGTTAAAATAATTAATAATAATAGTGGTAGTGGTAGCAGTATCTGCAGTATAGAAGTAACAGTAGTAGTAGCAGTTGTAGCAGTAGTATTAATACAAATAGACCCAATAACAGATAATAATTATAGTTAACATTTTATGCTATTAACTTTAGTATAATTATCATCATAAAATCAGAAATAATTACTTTTATTATATTTTTTCTTGTCTGAATCATATTTTTCTAATTCCTTGTCTCTCTGCTTGATCAGCTGGAAGAGAGATGCTTTCTGCAGCAGTAGATTTGATGATAGGCCTAGCAATGGTTCCGTAACTTCTTTGAAAAACTTTAATAAAAATATAAATAATTATGATTATTGTAATTTATAATTTATAATATTAGCAGCAGCAGTAGTAGAAGCTGTATTAACAAGAGTAAAAATGTCAAAAAATTTCAAAAAATACCTCTAAATCTGAGAGCGCCTTGCAGTTAAAAACCCATGTAAGTTTGATGTCAAACAGATGAAATTTCAATTTTATGTCTAGCACCTTTATGTCAGTTGCATAGTTTTCTTGAATTTCTACTTCTTGGTTGTTTAATTTATCTATGGCCTCAGACAATGCTGATCTCAATTTACTGTCTTTTATTTCAATTGCTGAGTTTAAATCCTAAAATTAAAAAAAATACTTATAAGAGTGTGTATGTATATGCATGTATGTGTGAATGTGGTGTATGTGTAGCCTATAGTAAAATGATAAATTAAAATAAATAATCTAAATTAGGTTGAATGTTGGGCAATAGAACATGTGGAAATTAATTGAAAAATTAATATATATAAATCAATTAATAAATGTGCTATTTAATTATCACAAATAAAAAAGATACACCCACAGGCACATGCAATAATAAAATATAATATTAATTAATTTATAATAAAATGAGCAAAATGTAATAAATTAATAAATAATAATTAATTAGTAGTAGTAGTTGTAGTAGCAGCAGTAGTAGTAGTAGTAGTAGTAGTCGTAATCATATTAGTGGTAGTAGTCCCTAGCTAGTAACATGCTAGCCTCAAATTTCGTTTTAACTTGATCCATTGTTAATTCGTCCCGCCATATTTTCACGTAATCCGTGATAGTAAATGTCAGACGATCGTCATCGAAAATGCTTTTGTAGTTGTAATTTTTGCAGGATTTTGTGACTAAATTCTTCCACATTTTCATAAAAAGTTAATAAATAAATTAGTAAAAAAATTAATTCGGACGTTTATCAATAAATGGTTATTGTTTTATTATATTTTAAATAAAAAGTTTGTAATTTCCAGTACTTTATTACAAAATATAATAATATCGCTTCATTTTAGTAATTTTTGCCAATATCTTTTAATATCGACCGTTCAATGTTTACATAGAAATTTAAAGTAAAAAACTCGAGGATCATAGAAGATCGAGGTCTATGCTGTTACACCTGTATTGGTTTGTTTACCTTTAACCAAAATGCTCATGCTAACATGAACCTTTTTAGATGAATTAAGTAAATATTAAGTTAATTTTGATAAAATAAATGATTAAATATATAATTATTTTGTGTAAATTTTAACAATTTTTTGTATTTTTACGTTGGTCCAAATGTTTAAATTGTGAAAATTATTGGAATCTAGTAAAAATCAAATAAATTTTAGCTTTGAAGAGTAGTTTAGTTTTAATTTTGTGATGGGAACATAAATTAACAATCAAATATAAAATCAAATAATGCTTTTCTAATGAATCTTGATTGAAAAAATGTAATGAAACATTATCCAAATTCTCAAGTCTTTCTAGTTTTCGTAGCTTTCGGTTCTAACTTCCGAACTCCCGTCACCACTCAACACGTCTGCAATTGTAGCAGATAAACCTTACCTTTAAAAAATCCAACTACAACCAAATCATATCCGTCAAAATGGCGATAAAATACTCTCACTTCAGCACAAACAGCAAGCGACTTCGATTCTTCCTTATAATCTTCAACGCTTTCTTCCTAATTCTCAGTATTGCGATAATCATCGTCGGCACGATTTTAGCCGCCCAGAAGCTCCAATATGTGGCCAGCGTCTACGGCACGCAGCTGATTGCTGGAACATGCTATATCACGATTGCAACTGGCTGCATCTTGTTTCTTATATCGTTCATCGGCGTCTTTGGAGCGATATTCTTCAATAGGAGATTACTACTTATATACGGAGTCATATTGGGAATCGTTTTTATATTGGGTCTGCTTGGTGCTGTGTTGGCGTTGATATTTCAATTTCACGTGTATGGGATCGTGAAGATTTACATGAGTGAATCCCTCCTAAACACGTACGGCACACAGATGGATGACCCTTGGAATAATTTTGTCACCAGGAGTTGGGATGAAATTCAGCAGAGGTTTCTCATTTTTTCAAACTTACAACTAACAAATAAATTAATTTTAAGTTCAGAAGCGTAAAAATAAATTTGTAATATAATTGAATAAATCGTTAAAAAACATTAAACGTCTAAATATCCCCAAAGCCTAGAATGTTGTGCACTGGATCGCAGAGGCTGGATGATATACCGACAGACATTCTGGTATCGAGATTTGCCTGGTCTGCAATCATTCGACAAACCTTACGTGCCTCTATCTTGCTGTAAAAGACTAAAAAACGGTCTCTACCTGGATCAGATGAGATGTCAATTCAACGCGAAAGGGCCACCCGGTTTGCCGCCATATTTGTTGAAACCGCGAAGCGCTGTCTTCTCTAATCACGATAATGACGCACTCAATACTCAGGGATGTTACGCAGCCGGTAGGGATGTGCTGTTATCGATCGGTAAGTATTTCATCGTTATCGGTTTCATAGTCGGTATTCTGGTGGCTGTGGCTATTGCGGCAGCTTTCGTTATGTACAATATTATTTGAGAATGTGAGCGTTGATGCTGTTTTCCGTACTTGTGGATTTTGGATGAGGATTTACAAATGAATAAGAGAGACAATAATATCCAAAATAAGATGTAGCAATAAGAGGAATCTTGTACAACTAGATACGCTGACTGTTTCAACAAACAAACATGCATATTAAATGAATTACATCGTAAATGTCTGTTCGTAATTTTCCATTTTCAAAACATTTTTCATCCTTCGTTTATTCTATTACTAAAAAATAAAATATATATACATATATATATGCCTAGATGTTAAAAGTTTACTTGAAAATATTAAATACGCTGTGTGAAAAATATATAAAGGTGTGTGTTTACTGCTTAAGTGTTTACGTACATACACACACAGCCACATACGCAAACACACACACAAACACACATATATACATACGCACACACACCCATCATCAAACGAAATTTATATAAAAAAAATATATACAAGCAGTAAAAAAAGTGTGTCCTAACAAAACGTTTCATAGAGTAAATTTTCAGGAGAGAAAAATAACAAAAAGAAATGAAGATATATGACGAAAAAGATAATAAATAAATCTATCAATCAATCAATGATACAACAAATAAATTAATTAATTAACAACTAATTACAATCACATTAGCGAGATGGAAATTTCGATTTCAAGAGACTAGTCAAATTTTCATAGATAAGAAACATGAAGGCAGACGTCAGGACCGTCTGCAACAGTTTTGATTCCAGCCCTCTAAAAAAATACCTAACCTTTGACCTTGAAAACATAAATAATAATAATAATAATTATAATAAAAAATATCGATTTATTATTATAACTTATAATGATGGTGACGAGTTTGTGCGAGTTGAGTCTTAGGTATTGTTAAGTATAATCGATAAATATGGTGTGTAATTGTTATAAAATTATATATTTATATATTAATAATGGAAATTAGGAAAATTAAAATAGTTTATTTTCTCAATTACCTGAAAGACATATCTTTATTGTAGTTGATCATAGATAGACCAGCCTATAAAATGAAAAAAAAAAAATTTTTAACATTTATATTTTACGGAAAATATAGAGCTATAATTATTGACACTTATTTAAACAAAGATATAAAAGCGGGAAAAAAAGTTCTTTTCCTAACTCGAGATCTTGTCTGGACGACTTGTAGAGGGTAGGTTACAACGGTGGCCAAAAGTTTTGCAAGCCCACCAAATGCAAAGAACAAAATACTGTCTGAAAACTTGGAAATTGATGAAAATTAATTATTATTATTTATTATTTATTGTTAATGTTATTAAAGTGATAATTATAATAATAATTATTATTATTATTACATTTAAACTATCCCTATCATCATTATAACCAAAATCGTCATTTTAAAACAGAATAAATTAAAAAATGAAACTCCAAAAAAACTTTTCTAACAAAATTCAACAGCCAGCTCATAAATGATCTTTTGCAGAACTCATAGACCATAAAATTGACGACCGGATTGGTAACCAGCAATAACGATGACGTCAAACCATAGAAATAAAATTTCAAACCATCCTCTTTGTAGACCTTTTTGAAGCAGTCTATGGTTGGTGACAATAGTTTGGACGAAAAATGATAATTATGGTAATGGTGAAGACAATTACTATTACTTTTAAATTAAGCTATTACTTTTAAATTAAGATACCAAAATTCTCAGCACACATTCTGTAAAGATAAACACAAACCTACTACACCAGTGTAACGAGTGTATCCTTTACTATCGCCATCATCAGCAGCAGCATCATCATGCTTATCGACATTAAAATTAATATTCCTATTATAATTAATAATAATATTATTATTATTGTTATAATTATTAATTTTGTTTTTATTGTTGTTGATGCGCAAATGCTGGAGCTTTAGTCTGGTGTTTATGACCCAAAATGGATTTGATATAGAAACAGTGATTATACCTACAAAGAAAAAAAAAGAATAAAAATAAGAAATAAAATATAATTTCGATTATTTTATTATTATTATTAGTAGTAATAGTATATTTTGTATTTATTATCGATTGTAACAAAAAAAACCATACAAAACAAGATGAAAAACTACAACTACTGTTACTACACTACTACTACTATTACTTCTAATAATACCACTACTAGTATAGTGCTGCTATTACTACTACTACTACCACAACTACTGCCACAACAACTAACCGGAAATAGTACCAAAAATAATGTCCTTAAATATGGACTGACTCTCAACTCCTACGTAAAGTTTCAAGCCATGAAATATGTAGAAGTACGTGAAGCTAGTGATGGCGATGCTCAGTGTTAAACTCTGCCAGCCTTTGTATAAAGAATGCCTTGGGGGGTAAATAATTACATAATAAAATAATAATTGTTATAAATAATAATAATATTCCCTACCATCCTTCTAGAATAACTATATCTCTGACGATGATTGGAGTAAATTGACATCTACGATTTTCTTGAACTAATTATTAAAACATGATATAAATAAATAAACAAAAAAATAATTTAATCAAACTATAATTATGATAAAACATGGGGCGGTGGTTAAGACGCCCAGCACTGCTGTAAGGACCCTGACCTTCACACATACAAAGTTTGTATGGTTGCATTGATTCCTATGTGTGTATCTATTGCATACACATACTTTTGTGCCATTATATAGTTGAATAAATTAATTGAATATTGTTATAAAATGATATATTTTATATATATTATAAATTGAAAATTATATTTAAAAATTGTGATAAAATGAGACCTTGCAGCCTGGTTCTAACAGTGTCTAGAGGGTAGAATAATAAAATGGCAAAGATATTACCCTAATAAATATAAGAAAAATAAGATTGCTTGTAAAATGTGAAGTTTACTTCTTAATTATTTGTTTATTTTATTTTATATATTATTCAACTCTAATTCATAAAAAATAAATAATAAAGGTTTAAAATGTTAATTTAAATTTAAACAATAGGTCTTAAATTTAAATTAAATTATTAAATTAAAAAACTATACTAAATTACTTATTAAATTAAAAAGCAATAGAATAGAATAGGCAATCACAATGCAAAATGATGAATAATATTTTTATTTATTTACGTAACAAAGTTCTGTAATTATTTATAAGTTATATAATAAATAAATTTTTCCTAATAAAATTAATTATTAAAAATAAACGAAGTTTAATTGATTTTTTTTTATAAAAAATTAATATTAAAACGAAAAAAACTCTAAAAAATGGAAATCTAACCAGGGAACCGCTGAGAGCGTGGATGAAATAATTTAATGAAAACAACTCCCCAATTTGATTAAAAATCTCCATTAAATAAATTAACAAAAATTAATTAAAAAATTAATAATAAAAGAGAATAAAATAGAAAATTGAATAGTTAAAATAAAAATAAAACATGATAAAATAGAAAAGTTTTATGACGAAATGCTCTGTTCTATCCATGAATATATATATATAATATCCATTATAATATATAATAATATATAATAATAATATATAATAATAATATATAATAATATATAATAATAATATAATATTTTATCCATGGTTATATCAAACAGTATCTTATTGAACAAAGTAGTATCATAAAATGAATTAAGATACTCTTTTAAAAAATTCTCAATTTGATTTCATTGCGATATCGATGATGATGATGATTGTGACCTGACTAATTAAAAAAACATCAAATAAAATTGATTAAATAGGATGGGTAATTCGTTGCGAAATCGTTGGAGGAAATGACGTAATGTTAACTGTAGTTATTTTACTGGATGGTAGTTAATCAGCCTGTATAAAGGTTATATTCAATTCCTATCAAATAAATTTGACCAAATATCATAGGCAGGCAGAACTAAATAAAGAAATAGATAGATAGATATCATAGTTATAATACATTTATAATGCTGTATTTACACATTCAAGTTGTACAATTGTGTTATGGTGTAGTCTCAAATTATTTTGAATTCTCTCACAAAAATTTAAACTTTTTACTATACACTAGTTATTTTTTATCAACAATTTAAAAAAATTTTCAGTAATGATTTTTATGACCTGACTAATTAAAAAAGCATCACAGAAAATTTTTAAAATAGGATGGAGAATTTGTTACATTGGGCTATTCGTATATAAAGCGAGCAAAATTTTAACATTAGGGCGCTTATAAATCTACGCATATTGACTCAGCTTGACTTGGCTCGGCTTGGAATTGGATGTCGAGCAAGGTGTGATCTTACTTAAACTATTTTGAATTCTCCCGAAAAATTTGAACTACACATGTTGGCTCAGCTTGGCCTGGCTCGGCTTGGAATTGGATGTTGGGCAAGGTATATTATATTGTATAGTATATATTATATTATATAGTATATTATATATATTATATATATATATATATATATAAAGTAACTAGAATCCATGTATACAAATAATTAATTAATTAAGATTATATGTTTATATAAAAAGCAATATAGCGGATTCAACCAGCCAATCAGAAAGTTTCGAAAGCGTTCGTTCGATGACTTAAAATTAGCACGATGAAAATGTATGGTTGAAACGAGTATAAAAAGGAGCTGAGACAGCATGAAAATCAGATCAGGCATTCTGCCTCGCTTGAAGCAGTCTGTCTGATCTCATTTATTTTATTTTTATAATTTTTTATTTTATTTATTTTATTATATAGAGTTATATAAAGTTATGTAGAGTTTGCATGTCTGTGGTTTGTATGTTGTATTTTTTTATATTTTAGGTTGGTTCTATAGCGGATGCTCATACATACATACATACATACATCATGTTTGTTTGTGTGGTAGTATTTTATGTTCTGTTTTACTCTTTTTTTCTCTGTCTTCATGAGTTTTGAGTTAAGTTTATGAAACATAGGTAGGTGAGATTAAAAATTAATTTATTATATAGGTAGGGTAGGGCATAAGGTAATTTAGTTACATAGGTAGGTTAGGGACTTCTATTCTTTTACTCTACTCGGTGGTGTGTTTTTTGTTTTGTTTTATTTTGTTTTGTTTCACACCATACATATAACAGGTACGCGGTGGTTCCTGGTTTTGGTGGAATTTTTATTGATTGAATGGAGTAGTATGCATGGTTATATAGAGTTATATAGAGTTATATAGAGTTATATAGAGTTATATAGAGTTATATAGAGTTATATAGAGTTATATAGAGTTATATAGAGTTATATAGAGTTATATAGAGTTATATAGAGTTATATAGAGTTATATAGAGTTATATAGAGTTATATAGAGTTATATAGAGTTATATAGAGTTATATAGAGTTATATAGAGTTATATAGAGCATAAATCCTATATAGATACCTTTCTTTGCTCTTCTTTTCTTTTCTTTGCCGACCGGTCGGTTTCTTTGCGGTTATTTTGATTTAAATTGAATAAATAAGATTTTTCCATTCATTTAGGTTCATTCAGGTTCATTCATTCAGGTTGAAGCTTCCAGAGGAGTTCATCGTGGAAGATCAGAATGGTTGTGATGTCACGCTACGTTCGTTCATTCAGTGGCAAAGAATGCACGCTTGGCTGGGGTTAGTTTTACGGTTTCTTTGCGGTTCCTTTTTGCCGGTTGGCTGGCTTTTCCGGCTGGCGGGTTTCATCGCGGCTCGTTTCTCTATTTTCGTTTAAATTAATTAAATAAATGGGATTTTTTCATTTCATTCAGGTTGAAGCTTCCGGAGGAGTTCATCAGGGAAGATGTCAGGCTACGTTCGTTCATTCAGTGGCAAAGAATACACGCCTGGCTGGGATACGTTTTATTCTTTGTAATTTAACATTAAGTAAGAATGCTCACACGCACACACACACACACACACAATTACATTAAGTAGCTATATAGGTAGGTTAGATAGGCATAATTTTAATTGTAGGTAGGATAGATAGGAAGCATCCAACACTAATGTAATTGAATAGGTAGGCGCGTAAGTTTATCGCTACTATTTTTTTCTTGCACCCACATTACACGCATCAGCGTATTACACACACACACAAATACATACATAAACACATATATTAGTATTTGAGCGTATTTTTATTTTCATTACACATTCTAATTTATTATTACTAAGGTTGAGAATAATTTAATTTCATAGGTAGTTAAGGGCAATAATGTAGTTCTAAGAACAATCTTGTAATGTAAATTAAAACGCTGTAAGTGTATCGATAGGTAGGTTAATTATTAAGTTTTACATTATTATTATTATGTTGGAGCCCAAGACATTACGTAGGTGGTGGGGTGGGTGCCGAAAGGCCAATGAATTGGGCTCTTGAGTTTTGTAATTTTAGGTAAGCTAGGGCCATAATGTAATGAATAGGTAAGTTAAGGATACGTTGTAACATACTCATTAATAGATTTAGGGTTTAAGTTTTATATTATTATTACTAAGTTGGAGCCCAAGGCATTACGTAGGTGGTGGGGTGGGTGCCGATTGGCCAATGAATTGGGCTCTTGAGTTTTGTAATTTTAGGTAAGCTAGGATTTAATTGTAATGAATAGGTAAGTTGAGGGTACGATAGCCGATAGACTCTGAATTTCGAAGTCTGTTGTCAGAGGTGAGCCTTGGTGGCCAATGGTGTACCGGCAATGGTTTACTATCCGGACGGCAATGGTTTACTATCTGTACGGTAATGATTTACTATGCGGCATGGCCATAGTCTG